GTGATTCCCCTCAACAAAGAAACCTTGTTTATCAATGGAGACCAAGTGAAGCAAGTGGCCAGTTTTAAGTTTCTTTTATGTTATCATAAAAGAGGACCTGACCTGGGGTGCTTACATTGCAGCACTGGTCAAAAGGCCCAGCAGAGATCATACTACCTGAGACTTCTCAGAAAACAACTGAATGAAAAACTGCTGGTGACCTTCTACTGCTGCACCATAGAGAGTATCTTAACTTACTTACTGCAGTAAGCACCTCTGGTTTGCCAATTGCACAATGGCAGATAGGACAGCGCTCCAGAGGGTTAACATGATTGCCCAGAAGATCATTGGTTGCCCTCTCCCCTCTTTGGAAGAGTTTTATAGTTCCTGCTGCCTTAAGAAAGTTCAAAACATTCTTAAAGATCCATCTCATCCTGGGCACCCTTTTTTTGAACGATTACCAACTGGCAGATGGTACAGAATAATAAAAACAAGGACAAATAGGCTGAAAAAGAGCTTCTATCCCAGGGCAGTAGCTCTTTTGAATTCTACTGTATAGTGCAGTGTTGGTGTGGTATCAGGGTTTTCAATTCAATGTGTGCAGTGTGAAGGATGTGTGTTTGTGTTTATTTTCATGTGCACTGAAAATGGTGTTTGATTTTGTTGTATGAGTGCAATGACAATAAAGTAAACTAACTAATCAATCACTGAATGGAAAAAAATGACAATATTTGTTTCCTTTCTCTATTTGTGCATACGTTTCTTATTCACTTTGATCAACAGTTGAATCATATCTCAAAACAGGCAATGAGAAAGTATTCTTCACACACCAAGGCAGCTCAGTGCCCAAACCATATGGTTCATGAACTCCCTCCTTGTTCATCCAGCATCTGAATAGATCACCTCAAACTGCCTAATGTCATTAGCAATCATTTTTGTTCATATGAATTTGACAGAGCTCATGACCAAAACTTTTGAACCAAGAACTAAAAAATGTCAGATTAAATGATGCAGATATGGAATGTATTCAGGCTCATTTATTTCCTGCTGTTTCTCCTCCTCTCCTCCTGTATTCAGGGGAGATTGAAAATGTGATGCTCATCTGCTTTTTCGGTTAGCACCTTGGATTTTATCTTTCTCAGCTGGGTGGACATGGCTGATGGTTCATATCTCTCACTTACATTGTCCAAAGGGACTTCATATTATAGCAGTTAGCTATCCAGAAAAAGATGCATGTGTGAATTACAACTGACTTCCACATTATATTCCCTTAGAATAACAGTGTTGTATATCCCTTTGGATTTGTACCATTATCTGCATTTAAACATTTTTAAAATCTGACTGTCACTCCCAAAGCACAAGTGATAAGGCCTCTTCATCTCTATAATTTATGGTGGATCCTCATTTTACCCAAGGAAGGAATTAGAGGGAATCATATTAATGTGGTGCTTGAGAATTAGGCAGGTATTAGAATACAGAATAATAGAGTTGGAAGAGACTTTTGGTGTCTTCTAGTCCAGCCCCTGCTCAAGGAAGTGACCCTATAGCATTTCAGACAAATGGTTGTCCGGTCTATTTTTCAAAGCCTCCAGTGATAGAGCACCCACGATTTCTGAAGGCAAGTTGTTGATTGGTTCTCTCCATTAGGAAATGTCTCCTTAGTTCTAGTTGCTGCTCTCCTTGGTTAGTTTCTTTCCATTGTTTGTCATCTTTGACTTTAGGTGCTTTGGAAAATAGTGTGACACCCCCCCACCCCACCCCCATCTTTGTAGGAACCTGTCAAATATTGAAACACTAACACTATTAATGGGAAGAAGAGAGGAAGAAAGAAGACGTTTGATTTGAGGGAAGAGCTTTATCTACAGGAGCATTGAAATATATGAGGAAAAGAGAAAGAAAAGAGATGAGAAACATCAAGCCAACTGTGTAGGCAGGGTCAAAGTTACAAACTTGTGGACTCATAAAACTGTAGAATTGGAAGGGCCAAAAGAATAAACATTTATCTGCAAAATGCAGGTAAACCAACTGATCTTCCTCAAAAGATGGCCGTCTGGATTCTTCTTCAATACCTCCAAAGGCAGAGATATCACAGTCTCCACGAGTAGAGTTGTGCAGGGAGGATTAGGAGAGATCATGCCAAAGGAAAACAACTCTTCTTCATATCTCAGTTCAGTCAAGTTTCTTTAACTACAAGGGTGCACTCATCCATCAGACATCCGTGAAGGAAAACTTGAAAGTCAGCTGCTCCTCATTTAATGACCATTCTTTCAGTGAGCCTTCAAACTTACAATAGCATTAAATGAGTGGTAGTTACGACTGAAAGCAATGTTGGACTCAGCTGAGGTCATAAGTCGAGGACTCCCTGCATTCTTTGACAACTAAAAGAGAAAATCCAATGTTTGTCTCTTCCTTTGGTTGGAATCTTTATAAATATACCTAGTGAGAGATACATTTGATTGATGTGTTTATTGCCACTGCAGCCAAGCAAATAAAAATAATAACTTTTTTATTATATGTGTATTGTTTTAAATTTGTTTTTGAGCTGCCTTGTGCATTTTTACTAAATGAAAGTGCAGGTATAATTTTAAATAAATGTCAAATGGAAAACACATTTTTGCATCAGTCAGATCAGTTGAATTGCTAGCTTAACAGAGCATTGTTTACTCTCTCAAAAGCACCATTCTATGCATGGTGCACAAGAGAACAGCTATGTAATAATCCATTTCAATTTATGTGTAAACAAACAAATGGATAATTAAAACTCAATAAACCATAGAATCATTGTTAGCATTATTTATCATTTCATTTTCCACCCACAGAACCATCAGTGCATTTCTCAACAACAACACATAACTCCAGAGTTAAAAAGTAGATACGACATGCTACGATTGAAAATTTTCAACTATTTTTACTTAATATGATTCAAGATTCTAATCCTTTGGGTATTTTTTTTTTTTTAATCAGATGACTCAAGACATTTGTAATTTATGTGGTGATATCTCCAGTACATCTTCTAACAAAAGTTCAAGAAATGTACATTTCCCTCTGCTGTAAAGATTGTAATTTTGCATAAAGTTCAATCTGCTACGCCAACATCAGCCTTTAAAGTCAGGTGCTGGCAATCCTCCAACAATTTACATAAAGTCTTAAATCAGTTTTCTTCATTATTAGATAACATTGTTTAAAAAGCCAAAAGGCAGCATCCTGAAAGATTCAAATTGCTACTAAGCTATAAAATAGGAACAAATAGAAGTTTGAACTGGAATAATTGATGTAGAGCAGGGGTGTCAAACTCGCAGCCTGCGGACCAGATGCATCACGCACTGACCACGCCCACCCCCATTTTAGCAAAGGGGGGAGTCGTGATACATCACATTATGACAATGTGACTACGTGAGTTTGACACCCCTGATGTAGAAGGTCAAGGGGATGAAAATTGAGAAAAGACAATGCAAGGCCATACCTCTGAGGAACCAATTCAAAATCTGTATGCATGTAGTTATATAACCAAATCAAAGCACATGGCCATTCAAATTCAAAAACTGTGACCCTGGGCAGTTAATACAGAATTGCAACCAGTACAAAAATAATATAGCAGACAACAACTGCAAGTCAACAATCTCCTTCTGAGGATGACTGCCTGAGTAGGAGTTATAGTCAAAGGAGTGTTACCCAGTCAAGTATACAGTAACTAATAGTAAGGTCTGAACATCTGTGAGAGGAAAATGATAGCCATTCTAAATTCAAAGGCCATTATTACATAGAGCACAAAAAAGGACATGGACATAACAACTAGTCCTAGTAGAATATGCTTGGCATGGTGGATTGCCATGTATGAGGTTTTTGAGAGAAATATTGCTTAACAAAGAAAAAAATATCTAAAGATATTAATCTTTGAGAAGTTATGGACTAGTTTGTATGACAAAAACAATAATTATTTTTCATACCATTTTATGAATTTCTTAAGGAAATGTATTCTAAAGAGTTTTACATTCCTGTAGAACTAGACTTAAAACTCTCTTTCTTACATCTTTTTGTCTGTCTGTCTGTCCGTCCATCCATCCATCCATCCATCCATCCATCCATCCATCCATCTATCTAATGAAATTTTGTATGAAATTTTATATGTTGTCAACTTTGTTTAGTAATTTTTTCTCTCTCAATATGTGCTCATATTTACTACTTGCTGGATTTATTTTCAGTAATGCTAATTTATTATTTTGTTCAAGTTTTATGCCATCCATCTTTACTAGGGAGAACTCTAGATGGCTTACAAATCATAAAACGAGCAAGTTAAACAATTAAATAATAACCATTAACTCTAAAATTGACATAAAAGTCAACACTATGGTAAGGAGGGGAGCAAGACACACACAGGGAGAAACCTTAGTCTCTTGGTCTTCTGGAAGGGTCTCAAAACTTGACTGTTCTGGTTGGCTTGGGTCCCAATGGAGCACTCTATGGTAGGGATGGTAGATGGTGCAAGAGAGAAAAAGTCCACCTCCATACTGTTCTTACACTTGGTTTTTAGTCTTTGTTTAATTCTTGTTAATTCTAATTGTTTTTATATTTATATGTAATCTGCCCAGAGTCACTTAGACAGTGAGATTAATGGCATATAAATTCAATAAATAAATGAGAACTCATACTCTTACTTTCAGGTGACAGTAGCACAGGGACACAATTATTGAGCTTTTCAGATGAGTGGCAACTGCAAGGTATTCCTGAAAACTCCTTTTTTTCCCCCTGCTGTCCCCTGGCGTATTGATGATAGGAGATTGAGTAGTCCATGAAAGTAACATTTACCTGCAGAGTTTATTTGCACATGTGCAAGAACCAAAGAATTGTGGCTTCAGATTGATCTGCTTGGCTTGGTGTCTATATTTATTTAAGACAAAAACAATGACCAGTCAACTGGCTGAATCTCCAATCTTTAATTGTCTTTGTAAGCAAGGAGTTCACTGCCTTTTGATAACCATTACTCAAAGTTGTCCCATTCTTGTCTTTTCCCTTACCTTCAGGCTTCTGAAAAAGGAAGAAAATTTTATCTTCATTCCTCGGTCCCGTGAAGAGCTTCCAGACAACTTTCCAAAGGAAATTCCTGGGATTTGTTATTTCCTGGAGGTCAGAACTGGTCAGAAGCAGCCAAAGTCTTCTGTCGCATCTGCCAGAGTGAGAAAAATATCCTACAACATTGGCACCATGTTCCTTCGGGAAACAAGCCTATGAAGCCTGTTGCAGATCAAAGACTCATCAAAAAAGCACAAGCCCAGAACTGGGTCATGACAAGAGAGAGGAGATTCTTTCTTTTTCACTGCATTGTTCCAAGAAAAGCAGTAAAAGCTGTGTGAAATGTCAGGCAATAATTCTTTTTAAAGGTGGGTGATTGTTGTCAGTAAACAAACTGGAAAGTGGCAAACAAGGGAGCAGGGATTTCTTTTCTTTTTCTTTTTTTTTTTTACAAAATTCAAATTAAAACAAAATATTTCTCTGTTGCCAGAGAATCCTATTGGTTATAAATGTCAGAATGTTGGGGGGTTTATTTGGTTTTGTTTTAGAAAAGGAATCTAAATTAAACAACTGTGCTTGGGAGATATCCCAATAAATCAAAGGTAGCTTGTAAGCTGCCTGGTTATCATTGGATGCTAACTCCTATCCACTAACATGGCCAGGAATAATGAGGGTCATCGTGCCATATTAACGTTAAGAGGGGCCGGGGTTGCTAACCGTAACATCCATTAAAATAGAGTACTTTGTGGATTGTGTTGCTTTCTTCTGAAATGGGCCATTGTTATATGCAAGTGTTGAACCCTTACTACTGTTCTTATCCTCTTTTTATCACAATAGAATCAGGATTCTCCTGATCTTTTAATCATGTGCACCTAAACAATTTATACAAGAGTTGTAAACAGTGTTAAGCCAAAGTTCAACCAGAGATTGGTCAGATTATGATACATTCCTACATTTGAGGGATTTATTGCTGTGGGTGAAAACATTTCTGGTTGATTGCCGTTCTTTAACCACTTCATACAGATACTGTAAAGATTATTTATAACCTTTTTAGCAGAAGAAAAATTTAATTTGAGATATGATGTATTAAGGATTTTACCCTTTTTTTAAAACCTACATTTCACTTTTAGGGCAATATTCTATAGCAACTATGAAGCTGGCCAGCTTGTTTATATTTGATAGGTATCCAATTTCTGAAGTTGGATGATTATGATACACTATTTTATTGCAGTCTGCAAAGAATGATATTTTAGCGATTTTCATTTTCTTCCATATGTTTTATCCATCCGTGCCCATGTTCACATTATTCATGCTAATAGTAGACGTCCAATATTGGGATAGTATTAGAAAAAGCCATGATGATCATGTCTGTGGAAATTCTGTCATCCAGGTCATCCTTGTCTCAAAGGTGCTTTTTTTCTTCAAAAGGCAACTGGACTGGTTTTCTTTGAGGAAGAAGAAGAAAATATTTTGCTTCTCATCCAAGAAGCTTCATCAGTTCTGATGACAGGGATTGAATCCACACACACACACACACACACACCCATCAGAATGGATGAAGCTTCTTGGATGAGAAGCGTAACGTCTCCTTTTTTCTTCCTTTTTCAGAAGCCTGAAGATAAAGGAAAAAAACAGTCCAGTTGCCTTTTGAAGGAAAAAGCATTTTTGAGACCATGCCAATCATGTTTAATAACTGGAAGTAGACTATTCCAAAATGGAATCCTGTTACCCTTGTAGAATTTTAACCATTTATCCTGTTAATAAGCCAGATTAGAAGACTTCTCAGATATGCTTGTTACACTAAATGTAACTCTAATTAACACTTTTTTTTCATTAGTAGGTAATGAGACACACCTAAAATATGTGATTAGTACTTTACCCCCTGAACATCTCCCACATTGTTATGGTATGTCATATCCTTTGTTATGTGGCTCACTCAATCTACTGTTACCTAGTTACTAGCATGGATTAAAATCTACAGCTATAAATATTGTTGGATTTAGAAAGTTTTTTTGGGGGAAACTGATACATCTACAATAACTTTCATACTTAATCATAATGAGATATATTTTAGAAACATCCCATATAATAAAATTCAGTCTTTGGAACTTCGAAATGTTGATGTTAGTTGAAAAAAAAAACTATGAATGATGTTCAGTGCCTTAGAAAGCTTGGTTCCATGTCTCTCTTTTATTATATTTTCACCACCCTGGTTATAAGTATTGTTCTGTGGCTGTTAAAATATATTCAAAATTAAATAAGTTTAGTATTTGCACTTAGGCTGTCAGTGTAAAATGACAGACTACTTTGGAGAATTCTGATATTTTGAGGTAACTTCTTCAGTGTTGGCATTCGGGAGTGTCCACAGTAATGGTCAGTACTTCAAAATGGTAGGTGCAACCAAACAATTGGAAACCTGAAGCATGCAACACACATTAAAAAAGAACCTGCCATTTTGAAGTCAGTAACTGTTGCCGCAGATACCCCTGAAACCATTTGAGAACTATAGTTTGATAATAATAAAAGTTCATTTGGACCTTTTGGACACTTTGTATCCATTTTTCATGCAAAATATTTCAGAGAGATGTTTTCCTTGTAAAATTTCTAATAGTTACTGTATATCCTACATCAGGTAGCTAAATATGCTTTATAATTTTATGCTTTTCTATAAAAGTATCAACTACATGGTCATTCAAGCTTGAAAGTGTATCAAGCAATATATGGCTAACAGATAACATATGGCTGTTCAGATCTCAAGAATGGTAGAAAATCAAAGCTTTGTGCAGTGACAAGGCCAATAAAATTGTTGCGGCATTCATTTTTTAAGGACTACAGCCTATTTTATCACATGCATGTAATATTTCTTTTGATAAGCATGAATACATAAGTTATACTTAATAAATATTGACAGAAATAAATAAGAGAATGTGTAAGGGACAATATAAGATTTAGAATATTTTTGTTGAGTTCAAAAATATTCAAAAATAAGAACAGGACTTTTTGTTTGAGTTCTGCATAAATTTACATTTCATGTTCTTTTTGCCAAAGTGTTTATGTTTTTTTTCTCTCTGTCAATGCACACATATCTCTCCCAGAAAATTACAACATTTCACTCAACAAAGTAATGTCTAATCCACAAAAGTCAGTGCCACAATAAATCTTGTTAGTTCTTAAAGATGCTGCAAGATTCTTAGCCACCTTGTGTGGCATAATTCAACACAGTTTCTGTTGAATCTTGGTGATTTATACTTGTGTGATTCTTGATGTCTGAAGGTGAAACACAGGAGCACATTATGTTTCTCCTATCATGTCTCCGGAGCTTTCTCAACAGTTAGGAGAGGGCTGGTAAATCACTTCTGCAGTGATATCTACAACTGAATAGTAATTTGAAACTGGCTCTGTCTGTGACTTACAAATGAGCACTCAAGTTCATATTTATACAGCAGTTCTGATGTTAAAAGCCAAACAGGGATTTAAGAAGACAGATGCTTGATGTCCATAGCTGTAAAGGTTGACTCCCTTTAGATTCAAAAAGAAAGCAACAGGTTTCCAAGTCAGAAAAGAGGAAAGTTTTCAAAAATTCACAATTTTTCCAAAATGCAGAGAACAACAGTCCAGATGGCATTGTGCTTTGATTAGTCCAAAAGGTACTAAACCCCAGTCCATTTTCCCCAACAATTTGGATTATTCTAGCACGATGATCAAGATTGCAAGAAATCAATCAAACTCTTAAAAGATATTGTGCTCTTAGTTCTAAGTGGAAATGTTTGAGAAAAGTTAAGTGAATAATCCACATTGACAAAGCTGTAAAGAGACCATCTGGGTTAAAATAAGCGGTAGAAAAAATAAAAGCAATACTATTGTTGGTGTCTACCATCAGCCACCTAACCAAAGAAAGGATGTAGATGAAGCCTTATTAAAGCAAACTGCAGATTTTTTCCAAGGGTCATAAAGTCATAATGGGAGACTTTAATAATTTGCATCTGCTAGGGAACTAATTGTACAAAGCACTGTTTTCTTGGGAGAATTCAGGAGAAAAAAGATTACAAAAGGATAATCTGTCCTTAGACTTGTTATTTTGCCCAGTAAAGTGACAGTGTAATATTGCATCCTTGATTTTAAGGAAAAGCAAATACTGAGCAAACATACTTTTCACTTCATTATGAACAATGAAATGAATTATTTATCAGCCAAGTGTGATTAGACACACAATGAATTTGTCTTGGTGCATATGCTGTCAGTGTACATAAAAAGAAAAGATACATTCGTCAAGAATCATAAGTTACAACGCTTAATGATAGTCATAGGGTACAAATACCAATGAAATCATACTAGGAAACAGTCCATATAAATCGTAAGGATACAAGTGACAAAGTTACAGTCATATAGCCACAAGTGGGAGGGGATGGGTGATAGGAGTGATGAGAAGATTAATAGTAGTAGTAATGCAGACTTAGTAAATAGTTGGACAGTGTTGAGGAAATTATTTGTTTAACAGAGTGATGGCGTTCAGGAAAAAACTGTCCTTGTGTCTAGTTGTTCTGGTGTGCAGTGCTCTATAGCGTAGTTTTGAGGGTAGGAGTTGAAACCGTTTATGTCCAGGATGTGAGAGGTCACATCACTTCAGAAAAAAAAGATGTTAATTTAGAATAGGGATAAGTGAGAATCTGTGATAAGAGAAATTAATGGAACAAGAGGTGCAAAGACAATTACAAACCATTTCAGTGAGGAGAAAAAAATAGAAGACAGATGAATAAACCATATGGTTTACACAGAATGCTTAGTGAAAAAAAGAAAGCACACATGGGCATATATTGGTCATAGAAAGACAAGTTTCAGAAAGTGTACAGGAAAGTAGCTCAGAACTGTAAAGAAAAAGGAGGAAAAACCAGAAGGAGCTATGGTAATGAAATGAAAAAGAAAGAAGGATAAAATTCCAAGAAAAGAAAAGGCAAAGGTGCTCAAACACTTCAGTTCAGTCTTCTCCAACAAAAAATAAATATGCATTCCATCCAGAAATAGCAAAGAGCAATTTGAAGGGTCAGCTTGTGATTGACAAGCAGGGTCAGGAAAATACCTCTTTATTTGAATGTTTACATCTTCAGGATAGATGAATTGTATCCAAAGGTAATAAAGGAACTTGCTGATTATCTGTCTGAACCCTTACGTGTTTCCTTTGAGAAATCCTGCAGCTCTGAAGAAGTGGCAGATAATTGGAGAATAGCAAATGTTGTTCCTGGTTTGAAAAGATAGGATAGGTGGAGTAGGAAGAAGAATCTAGCAAAATAGATAAGGCTGACAGCAATACTTGAAAAGTTTGGGCTTTTTGTTTTTTTGGGGGGGTGTCTCTGAGTCAGCATGGATAGTCCTGAAGACTGCCTGAACAAGTTCTTGCAATTTTCATGGCAAGGTGATAGAAATGGCATTGTAGTATCTGCTTCCCGGGACTGAGCAAAAGTCGCTAGATCAAGATTACCAGCTGGCTTTGTATCTAAGGCAGGATTGGAATTTGCAGTCTCCTGGGTTCTAGCCTTAATCACTAAAGGTAGTCCTCCACTTACAACCATTCATTCAGTGACTGGTCCTCGGACTACAAATATTGCAACTTTCCTGCAGTCACATGGGCCCTTGGCAGCCGGCATTAATTTATTATGGTTGCAGTGTCTTGGGATCAGGGTTATTGCTATTTGCAAAGCTTTTCAGCCAATTTTTGACAAGCAAACTCGACTGGGAAAACTGGACTGGCTTAATGACTGCATGCTTCATTTAACCATCATGGTTTGCTTTACAGCCATGGCAAAAAAAAAAAAGATTGTAAAATCAGGCAAGACTCATTTAACTGCCTCACTTAGCAACAGAACTTGCAATCTGAATTGTGGTCCTAAGTTGAGGACTACCCTTACACCAAACTGCCTCACACAAAGATTGTAGGACAGATCGAAAAGAGATCAGTTTGTAAACTCTTTAAAAACAATTGCAGTTAATTGAATTCAGCAAAGATTTGTCTAGAGTATTGTTATAGTGTTTTAAATTGTTAGCTGCTCGGAGCCATGACCTTGAGATGGATAGCAATATAAATAAGTGAGAATAAATTTGCTAGATTCATATTCTGATCAAAATAGTATCTTAGTAGTTTTTAGGAATTTGAACCAAACACTTGACAAAAGAATACCTTGACTTTCTGATTAGTAGGATATTTTAAGTCTGGTTTGGGGTGCATAACTCTTCTTTAGAGTATAGCAACATACTGTAATTCATTCAGCCACCCCCACCCGTCTTGAAAATAAATTCTTAAAGCCAGCCTATCAGAAAATGTTTCCCAAACATAAGATACACAAGTATATGATGGGGATTCCTAATTGGTTATAATACTTATAACAAGTAGTTTTGCAAGAGCGATTGATTATAAACGGAACACGAGCCAGGAATGTGGTGATGTGGCTGCAAAGAAGGGAAAGGCAAATGTAGGCTGTCTTAACTAAAATTTAATATCCAAATCATAGGAAGCTAT